CTGTTTTTTGTTGCCTAGTTGTTACCTATTATTTGCAATAGTTAAATAGATAGGTATAACTTATATTTATAAAATATATTTTAACCTTGTTTTGAACTTTTAGTTCTTATCTATAAAAGTTGAACATTATATACATTTTTAAATACAAAATAATTTGATTATTTTTGAGCGATTATGATGGATTTTGTCAAAATTTGAATTTAAAATGCTTATGAAAAAATGTATGCCTTTAATCTTTATATGTTCATTCATTTTGAACTTCTGATATGGGTAAATTTTCAAGATTTTGATTCAGCAAAAAAAAATATTTAACGACGACAATTTAAAAAAAAATCGAAAAGGAGGTCTTATAGTTGTAATTTATCATTTTTGAAAAAATACCTAATAACCGGTACACATTTCATTATTAGGTAATAACTGAACATAAATGGACATATTTAATTTATTTTTTTTTTCATTTATACTGTCACACTCTGTATACTAGATACGTTATACGAATATACATAATATTATTAATTTGAATGTTTACATTAAAATTATATTTGACTATGATCCATTGATTCTATACCTAGTTTATTATTTCTATGATTAATTAATAGTTAGGTTAACTGTTTAAGTCTTGCTAATACCAAATAACATAACGTACCTAGTCTAATATATTTTAACTATATTTCCGAAACCTTAATTTGCTAAAATATACAAGTATCTATATTAAAGCCTTTCAAAATCACTTTTTAAATATGACGGTCAAGTAATTTTAATATAATATGCTTTTATCGATGTGGCAACGATCAACAAATTATTAAATCTACACTAATCTGTATACACTACTATTGTATTTTACTACTCAGTACTATTGCTATATTAAGGATTGTAATATTGTATACAATTTGTTGACATGTCAAATGTTATAAAATATAATACATTTGCAAGAATTTAAACTGGTAAATATAATATAAACAATAAACATATAATAATAAATAATAATATACAATTTAACGTGGATGGTATTAGAGTTCATTGAATGGTGACCTGGTGAATCGCGGTGATTGGACTCAGTCACTAATATAATGTGTGCAGAGGTCAAGCAGGCTCCCGGATGGGTGACCACCAGGGTTCTTTGCGACGATCTATCTGCCTCACATAAAAAACGCGTACCAACCGTAGCCGCCACACAAACCGGAATGGAGTGTCAAAAAACGAAGTTCATTTTATGATTTATTTTTGAGCTTCTCGCATGACATATAGTGAATTGCAAGTTAAAAATAATGGTGTGGAATATTGTCCACAGTAAAAACTAGCTAATAACAATGTAGCTTGAAGTCTTAAAACAATGATACTTTAACCTCCTATAGTTATTTACCCAAAGACTTCTCAATTGGCTGTGATGAAAATAGTGTTTGCATCTTTTTATCTGCTAGTCAGCAATGTCAAAAAAAAAAACACTATGTTTCTTTAAATTTAAATAGTATTCGTTATAAATGTAGTAAAATATAAAATAGTATAATAATTTGAGATTAATTGATATTTTTTTCTCAAATTAAATCTAAATTGACAATAGCAATGAACACATATTTAAATTATTAAAATAATAACCGTCTAGTTTAAGTCGTGATAAAATGTATTTGTTGTAATTTGAAGGATGATTTATCGGTGGTGGGTTATTTGTGGTTGTTGGTTGACATCCCACCGCTTGATGCCCGATGCCAATTCTATTACTATTATACAGACAGTATCCATTATAATATAAATATTGATATACTTCAGAGTTTAAATTTTAGGATCAGATTATCAAAACAAAATACAAACGAGTCAACGCGACTAGTAACTGTCCTTGTAATTCTCTTGTGTTCTTGTAACCTAACCAATATTTGTGTATTTCAAGATATTTTATTTTAAAAATCTTTATCTAGATATTATTTTAGTGAGCTATTCCCAACACTGGAATCATTTCGCTTAAACATTTGATATTAATTTTTTACGATGGATATTCAACAGTTAGTTAATAATTTCTCCTCAAACGATTTTTTATATTTTGTTGTAATTCAAAAATCAACTATAAATAGATACTTCAATTGTTCACCAAATGATTATGATAAAATATTACAACTGTCTAAAGGTACCTACATGATGAAATGTTCAAAATATTTCTACTTTTTTTGACCTATTTAGAGACGGGTCTAAAAGCTTAAACAATTAATACAAGGTTCCTCATAAGTTATTATAATAGCAATTTTTAAATAATGAAGATACATTATGTACGATTATTTTTTTTTTGTAAGCATTTTAAGTACAGATTTTTACAAAATTAGTTAATATACAGCGAACGTTATTTTGGTTAAAAATGTAAAAAATGTTCAATTTTTATAGCTAAAGATCGGAAATTTTAAACGAGATTTCTCATAAGTGGGTAATACTGTTACCAAAAATCTAAAAAATAAATAAGCACAGTTTTTTTTATAGAAATTTTAAGTTGAAACTTGGACGAAATTAGACGTTTTATAATGCAATATTTTACTATTAGTAAAATGAGTTACTTAAATAGCTGTAAATTGTAATATAAATATAACTTTATAATATCATCTAGAATCTAGATAGCTACCTATATTTACCAATATTATACTATTATATGTATAGGAATATATAAGAATCAGGTGAAAATTACATTGGAATTGAAACTAAAGCAATTATTTATATTTTTATTTAATGTAGGTATTACTATAGTACATTATACTCAAAAAATATTATGCAAACCATTAACCAAATAATATACATATATTTACATGGGTATAAGAATAAAAATGTAGTAGTTCTATTTATTACTGAATGATATGATGTACCTACCTAGCTAAAAGCTTAAATAACTAAATCAGTGACTGTGAATATCGTTTTTAGATGATAAAAACTTGATTTTTATTTTGAGGAGGCATTTACTGGAGATAATCTTAACTGTAATATGTTAAAATATTAAATAATGCTATATTGTAGACATAATGCGGTAAATATTATAACTTGTGAAAATATTTTTTAGATTAAAAATTGGTGGGGCGAAGGTTGCTCCCACGACTTAGTTCTAATAGCCAATATCCAATGGGGGAAGTGGCTATATAAGTAATTGTTCATTGCCACACCTAAAAAAAAATAGTTCGGCGCCACTGTTGCTATAGTAGCATTATCAGTGTTACACAACATGAAATTACATTTTAAAAAACACTTAAATATCAATAATATAAATCCTAACGATAACAACAATAGTAGCACAGAAGATAGTAGTGAAGATGATGATTATAATGAAGAAAGTGAAAGTGATAGTTCTGCAGATGAGGACAATTATAATGTTGTACAAATAAACCAAAATAGAGGTAATGTAGCAAGAGCGCAATACATACGACAGTTTTTTTATTAAACGTATGTAATATGTATATTATAGGTAGATTACATATCATATTATTATTAGTTAAAACTTTTTTATTTTTATTCTTGTAACTTTTGTAAATAAAAACAAATTTCATAATATATTTTATAGTACCTAATAATTATCATATTAATATTTATTATTTAACAATATATTTTTGTAACAATCGTAAATAAATAGTGTAAAAACAAATCACATAATATATGTTTATTACTTATAGGTATCTAAATAACTGATATTACAGTGGCGCCCAACCCTATTACTAGGTGTAGCGGTCGCTATACCTTGAAAATAAGGGGTGGGTAGGTATAATAACATAAAATAATTAACTTGGAATATGTTCATTATTAGTCACAGATTATATTGATTGATACCTCAATATTTACTAATATTATCAATTAAAATATGATAAAATGTATGAATAAAATAATATAATTTTGAGTTCGTGAGGGGGCGGGTAAAATTATTTCTTGCTACACCTGAAAAATATATCTTGGGCGCCACTGACTGATAACATAGTTATAAATATAATAAAGAATAATGTTTAGTATTTTATAATAATTATAGTATATAGGTATATTATTTAAGGTATAACAGAATTGTTGCGTCATATAAGTAGATGACGAGAAATTAAAAATGTAATCTGATACCTATATTTGATCAGAACAGTTTAAATCTTGAATCTGTTTCAAGTTCTCCAACTGTTTTGTTTTTAATTCATAATACTTCAATTTTGCTTCGTTTATGAGAGAGCGCTGGTGATGTTCTAAAGTCAAAAACTTTTTTTCTAATTCAAACTTTTCTTTTTGTATTTTTAATAAATTTGCTTCGTATTCAGTAATTTGTATATCTAATTATTTCCGTTAAAACCTTGATTTTTTTTTTTTTTGTACCTTATACAAATACAAATTCTAATATTAAGGTATGTTACTACTTACTAAGAACAGTACCCCCATATGATTTCAGTACTTATACGTTTATACGTATTTATATCGTTCTATGGTGCGTCACTATTGATTTAACAATTAATTATAATATAATATATAATATAAAGTATTACTATTATATATATATATATATTAAATATTTGATATTATTTTTTGTGATATTTAATTAAATCATATAAAAAATATTTGAAGGTCTTCATCGTGTATCAATACGTCATGATCAATGATTATGTGCTTTAAATTTAAATATAACTTATTAACAAATAAATAATTTAAATTAACATAAAATTGGCTTACATCTTCAAAATCATTTCTTTGTAAAAACTCATCTAAGCTTTCAGTACATATTTGTATACCGGTATTTGAAGTCGCTGTCGATGATGCAGGTGGCTCTTTTTCTAATATTTTGAAATCATTTGTTACAGTTTTGTTTATGCCAATCTAAATAAGAAAAAAAATAATAATCATAGTTAAAAAGAATAACAAAGTCAATAATATTATTAAAAACACTACTATTATTACAATCACTACTTTTTTTTAACAACAACATTAAAGTAAAATATTTAAAATGTCTATAAATAGATCAGAAAAAAAATACAAAAAACTCATAATTACAATTATTATAAAAATTATAAATACTACACCTTTTTAGTTGAGCCGTCATTGTCACAGTCAAAATCGTTTGCATCTTTAATAAAGTCCATTGGCATTAAAGACTGCAATGTCATGTCTAATTTGTTTATTGATTCTGGTGGAGGACCTCCTCCAGTTTGTTTTAAATTTTGTTTATATGACGAAACATTTTTTTTGGCAACTATTTTCATTCTTTTCCATTCGCCTTTAAATTGCAGTAATGTTCTTTGAGTTTTTGAATTACCATTATATTCTTTATAAATTTGTGACCACCCTTCTAGTTTTGACTTATTCGTATTTGTGTCACAATTTTTATTTTCAATCACTTTGATAAATGGTGTGACGATTTCAGTTAGTAGCTCTTTCTCTCCACTTTCCCAATTAACCCTTTTTTGTTTATCCATTTTAAAATGGAATCACGCAATTTAAATTATAATTTTAAATAATTAAATACCACTAATAAACTCAAAAATAGAACACGAAACTAAAAATAAATTCATATAGGTAATCTAAAAATATTTTACCACAATTCAAAAAATATAACGATAACAATGACATGAAAAAAAAACACCTGGAAAAACTGTAACGTTCGCATTAAAATAATAGAACATAGAATGTATTTTTACCTTATTTTTTTTTTTAGATTGTCAACAATTAGTAATAATATGGAAATTTGGGTGGCTCTATGGCTGTTTATAATAAACCAAAGATAATCCACAGTTTTTCAAAACTTAGCCTAGACCATTGAATATGTTTACTATGAATAATACATTATTAAACCCGAGTTTAACCAAGGTCTAAGAATTAAACCAAGTTTGTTCAAGTTTTTTTAAGTTGTCGGCCGATAGAAATTCGCTATATATATATAGACGGTGTCGCCCTACCGTGACCTGGTGGTTGGTAAAAGCTGGCGCGGCGGGAATGCGACGTTTGAATTCAAACGCCGGTTCCCGGGTCCGCGTCATGTAGTTAGGTTATAGGTTATAGTCAGGTCGATGTATTGTATAATATTACTTCCGACAGTCGTAGTAGTCTCTGCAGTTCGCAGCAAGCCTTCAACGGTCTCGTTCAAACGGTTTAATTTTGTTGTTATATTGGATTGCTGCTCTATGACGGATGTCTGGATTCTCTGGATCGAATAAATCGAGTCAGTCATATGACGCTCCAACGCTATGCTACGTATTTTGCACAATTCAAAATGATGCTGAAAATCAAATAAAAACCGTTTATCAGTAGGTATTCAGTACCTACCACGATATTATGATCCCTGTACGTTAGATTGTTCTAAATTCATTATTCGTTTCATACTTGCATGTCTCTGCAGAACGCCCTTTCTACCGCGTTTGATGAGTATACAATTATCAGTAGGTCACAATAGAAATTTACTTATCTTTATGATACCTATGTAAATTATTGAACTATTAATATAGGTTGATATTTACCAATATAATATAATGCGTGACTTGTAATTATTTCATATTAGTTACAACTTACAGATTAATAGTTAAATGTACAATAGTTAAAAGTTAGTGAATTTCAACTGTTACTAATACTTAAATTTACAAACTCATAAGTGTAAATATGGACTTGTGGTAAATAATAAATATATTTACCTACCTATGTGTTACCAGTGAATAATGACTTTCACAAAACAAAATATACCTATAATAGCCAATAGCTCTAATAAAGGACCAATATGTCAACACATATATTTCTGTTCTGCACAATAATCTGAAGTTGGATCGTTTCGTCTGGAAAATAAATACGCCATTCCGGCTATACCAACACAAGCAAGTGAAATCCCTGCCAACAATTCTTTAGAAAAATCCATTTTTCTTCAGCGAAAATGTTCAACGTTCAACAAAATATTATAAGGACTTTGTTTATTAGCAAACCGTAGTGAAGTACATAGGCTGTTAACTCGTATTCAGAAATGATCAAATTATAAAAGCTAGACAATACAATAACTGTTCTTTACAAACTCCTTCAATAATTTCAACCAACATATATGCACACATTTTAAGTGAATTTAACTCTACTATTAATCTTATATTTAAAGAACCATACATAAAATTATATTTTTTAAATAACATTAATCCTAAACTTAAATTGACAAATATATATATACACTATACATCATGATACTAAACATTTATTTATAAGTGCTGCATTCAATTTATTGATGTTTGCTTTTACAGCAAATGTAAATAGGGTACTAAAAGGTAAAAAATTAAAAATGCTTTGCTCTGAAGAGGGTACAATTCTTTGTCTATACTCTTTTCAGAATAAGAAGGAACCAGGCGGCCATGGACAAAACCGGTTTTGTTACGTAAATCTGGTGCGTTCTTATTCTGAAAAGAGTATAGCAGAAAACTATTATAAACATTTCAAAATGAAAAATTATCCTATGCTTTTTTTATATTATAAAAGGTATTATCCTATGTTTTTTTTTATATTATGCTAGGTATTATCTTATGTTTTATATAAAATGTATATTTATATGAGTATAAATATTATAACTATTATTATAACTTGTTTAATGTTAGGTATTAAGTATCCTATGTTTTTTTTATGTTATGCTAGGTATTTCTTATGTCTTATAAAAAATTTATATTTATATTATAACTATTATTATACTATATTAACATTTTGACTTGACTTCTCAAAACCGAATTTTTAACTTATTTTGAAACGTACACTTCATAAGACAATTTTTTTCAAAACACTGCGACATTCCATTACATAATTTATACCTGTTTATATATTATAATAATATCGTCCTATGCGAATAATGAAACTGCGCATATTACAGTAAAAACTTAATATATTATTATTATTATTATTATTTACTACAACAATAATATAATGAACCTTATAGTGTGTGTACCTACATAATAGTAATATGACATGTACCTACGTTATAACTGTTAACTTATAGTTAAGCAATGATGTGTGTGGGGGGAGGGTCACCGAGCATTGTCGAGTGTTGTGCCCCGACATATTATAATCGATGCGTAGATTGCACACATGGACACACCACACACAAACACACACATCCACACACTCACAAATCCGTACAAATACAAGCGAGTATACGTCATAATATGCATGTATATAGGGTACGCACAATGGGCATCGGATAAATCACTTGAATTTATTGCGGGAAGATGTGCCGTACGACATTTTAACACCCACGGTTCACCCTGCAGCCCGGCGTCGCCCATTGTTTGTATAAGTATATAAAGTACGTGGCGTTGTTTGTCGTGTGCACAATAATTTCATTATTGTCTTATTGTTTCTCCCGGGGGTCGCGAACCGTTGGTAACCCGACAGGAGCACACGGGATTTGCTATAATATGTACACACGCTCGTACAATAATATGACGTCCACGGTGCAGTGTGTATAATGTGTATAATGTGTTTGAACACCATACGCCGAGGTTTACCCGACATATATTATATATAGGTACACATAATACGGTTACGCGTGTGTAATATACAAGCACATACACAATACTATGTAGACACCTACCTATATATCATCAACAGGTTAGAGCATTACCTATATACAATATTATATACTTGACGAATGCCACATAATATTATAAATAATCGGGACTAGAATACTACGTAGCATTTTCTAATTTTTAAGAAACCGAGATAAGTATAAGCCACAAATTTGTTTTATACATCAAGGGTTCCGAATATACAATTTTATAGGCATAATTTTCCATATATTTAGAGTTTTAGATCTTTATAGTGCCATTTATTTTAGGTACCAAACCTAATTTGAGTTTAAAATCCGATTTATTATATGCGTTTTACATAAATCGTGGATTAATTTGGGACGTTAAGTAGAAAAAATAGTTAATCATAATAATTTGTCGTACGACAACGCGCTATCTATACGGTTTTCTTCAATTATTGAATCAATTTTAATAATATTCAGGCTTAGAACAGTAGTCTCGTACAACTGCGAGATCAACTTATCGGCAGGTCGGTGGTCGTATATAAGTTATACATAATATGCATATTATTACCTAGACAATAATTATATCTTCTACGCGTCGTCGGTCATCTTGATTGATTTTTTTGTTGTTGTAAACACGTACCTACCCATAAAGAAACGCGCCGTGTATAATAGTATTATAATAATTATCATAATTTCGTTGTTTTTTATTTGTGCGTTTGAAAAATTGTTATTCCGTTTGAATTCGTGAGTATTGTCCAGAATATTACACTGGTACATGTATATATTATTATTATTATTATTATTATTATTATTATATGTTTATGACGTGTTTTTTTTATTTAATTAAACTTTACTCTTACAACGTTTTCGTTTTTTTTCTGTCGAGTTTCGAAATTAATGTCAAAGAATTTGAATAAGAACTTCTATAACATTTCGAAATTAATTAAAAGTTTTCTTTTCTCGGTAATTTGTAAAAGTAACAACGAATTTTAACATGGGGAAAAAAAACGCAACGATTTTAGTTTATTCGTTGATCCAATAGAATTCGGGATATTATACCTATTCCAAATAAGTTATATAAATCGAAAACACTTTATTGCAGTGTTATTATCATATAATAATGATATTTTATGTTTCGCGAAACCCAACTGCTGCGTTATTAATTTTGCCTACTGTATAATTTTTTCTAAATTTTTTTTTGGTTTTCTAAAATGAAATTGCCAGCGTGCGCCAACACTCCCCTTCAATTTTTTTTTTAGGAATTTGAGATTAGTTGAATTTTGATAACTTGCAGGTGCCCTCTGTATTGAAATTCTTAAACGAACTAGTTTATCATTATGGATTGTTTTTTCTGTTTATGAATCTGAAGATTGTAGTTTGAATTCATTGATATGTGTTTGCCTACTGTATAATTTTTCCTACATTTTTTTTTGGTTTTCTAAAATGCAATTGCCAGCGTGCGCCAACACTCCCCTTCAATTTTTTTTTTAGGAATTTGAGATTAGTTGAATTTTGATAACTTGCAGGTGCCCTCTGTATTGAAATTCTTAAACGAACTAGTTAATCATTGTGGATTGTTTTTTTCTGTTTATGAATATGAAGATTGGAGTTTGAAATCATTGATATGTGTTTGCCTACTGTATAATTTTTTCTACATTTTTTTTTTGGTTTTCTAAAATGCAATTGCCTGCGGGCGCCAACACTCCCCTTCAATTTTTTTTTTAGGACTTGCAGTTAACCTATGAATATACTCTCTGTAATGAACTTATTATTTCGAATATTTTTTCTCTGTTTAAGGTTCTGGACATTTTAGTTTGAACTCTTTAATGTGTGTTCCTGCGGTATACATTTTTCTAAATTATTTTTTTTGTTATCTAAAATGTGTTTGCCTAGTTAAGACTCAGCACACTCAGCACGGTTAAGACGTTACTGTTCTTTTTTTTGTCATTTTGTTCATTTTTCCTGTAAATCATAAATTATAATATTATAATAATATAGTTTTAGTATATTTGAAAAAAAATGAAATACAAAATTTTGTTAACACGGCGCATTGTATAGGCAATGCTGCTACAACAGAGAAAATATTTTAGTAGTTTTAAGAAATTGTTTTCAAATTATCACATTTAACGCGCAATGTATAAAATACGTGTGCCCGAACAGTACACCGCTCTAAGTTTAATACGTATGGGTACCTACCTTTTTTGCATAATTATTATACAATGCACTATACACCTTGGAACACTTTAGGTTGTGAGACGTAGGTATTTAAAACAATTATTAACATTTATATTTGAAATACATTATATACGCACCTATGTTTACACTTTTTAAACAATTGATGAGCATAGATGGCGAGTACTTTGCTGGTCACGTCGAACTTGAATGCATTAGTGGACTTTATCCGAGTCATACATTTCCTGTGTATATACATCTAATGATCTTAATGAATTTGTAGATTAAAATGAATACCTATTTAAGATTTAAGATTTTTAGATTTAAATAAAAATCTCTGTACAGGCTTAACTCTGAAACTACTTATTAGATCTTCTTGATTTTTTTTTAAAACGAAAGAGTATTTCATAGAGAAGGTTTATATGAATGAACATTTTAGGAAAATTTACCTGTGTATTATATTATATTGGTTGCTATCGGTTAATCGGTCATGATTGTTGATTTGTATTATTATTTTTTATACATATATATAATTTATACAATAATATCTGATAAGTAGTTTCAGAGTTTAGTCTGTATAGTTATAGTCTGTATATTTATATAGTTAGATATATAAATTAATGTTTGCGGGTAGATAAGACCTCTGGGAAGAATATAGGTTAATTTACAAAGGGTTAAATTTGTTTTTTTTTTTTAATTCGTCAGATTTTGTACGATTATGATGTTAGGAATTATGATAGGATTTTGTATAAATTGGTTATATTAATCCACATTTTTATTTTTCTAAAATGCATTTGACTGCGGGCGCCAACACTCCCCTTTCATTTTTTTTTTAGGAATTTGAGTCTAATAATTATTAGAAAGTTAAAAAGTTATGTATTCTCTGTTGGCGTTGGAAACAAACTTTGTCTTTACAGTTCATAAAAAATATATTAGGCACTATTAGAATAATTGTCTGAAATCATATATATTTTTGTTGGTCGATAGACAATAAAATGCAAGCCATAGATGTGGTAAATAATAACCAAAGAACACAAGCTCTTTTAATCCCAAAGGTTGAATGGATAAGACTAAAAAAGATTTTGACCAAAAAGGATGATGATATAGCTACAATTGAGATGATAAAGCGATTAAAAGACGAACGGCAAGCTACATCCAAAGCCATAAAAGAATCATGGGACGCCACTGTACTGGTACCTACCTAAATGAATATTTATAAAATTCTGTAAAACTATATGTTTCTAAATATATAGACTATACATGCTTCACAGTTTTTTGAGGTTTTGATGGACACACCTATTTGTATATTTTTAGATTCTGAGTGAAACGATGAATGTATTGATTTTACAATGTGTTTTTTTTTTTTTTTTTGTGTCTGTCATCACTTTTTAGGACAGTAAAAGTGCTTGGATTTTCTTCAACAGTAGCTTTTCTGATAGGAAAGTGAATCTAGTTGGTACTTTGGTTGGTCAAAAGTAAAATTTCCCAGTAGTTTTCACAAGCGCCGGGAAAAAACAACATAAAAATTAAGGAAAAACGGGAATTTTTACGCAAAATCGGTTTTCCAAAAAATCGATTTTGGTTTTTGGTGTAACTCTAAAACAAAAAAACGTATATACATGAAATTTTCACTGGTTGTTTATATTTGCATTTTATATACACGATAACGTTTTCAAAATATTTTGATTTATTTTGAACTGTTTAGGGACATTTTCATTTTCCATCTTTTTTTAGTTTTTTTTCTAAAAATATCAATAAAATATTATTTGTTGGTTGCGAAAGCTTGAAAATTTAATAGAAGGCTCCTAATATATTGTTTCAAAGGCAGATGAAAAATATTAAAAATCCTTAGTCACAATTTTTTTTTATAAGCATTTAAAGTTCAAAAATTGTCAAAATATGGAAAATCACGAAAATTAGCGAATTATTTTGAGTTAAAAATTCGTAAAAATTTTTCTTTTTAAATCTAAGATTTGAAAATGTAATACAAGATTACTCATAAGTTTGTCTACCTTTATCAATAAAAAATCTCTACCGGAAAGTCAAATTAAATTTTTATGAGCGTTTGAAATTCAAATTTTACAACATTGGATGTTCACTCGATTTCTCATGTAGCGATTTCCTTATTTTGTTGTAATTCAAAAACGAATAACTGTAGATACATGGAAATTTCACTGAATGTTTATATTAGAATTTCCTATACACCATACAATTTTGAAAATATTTTGACTCTTTTTTAGCTGTTTATGGACATTTACAGTTTTTAATTTTTTTAGTTTTTTTTTCTATAAATATCAATAAAGTTTTATCTGTTGGGCCAAAAAGTGTAAAAATTAAATACAAGGCTCCTGATATATTGTTACAATATCAGTTGAAAAATATTAAAAATACATAGTCACAGTTTTTTTTTATAAGCATTTAAAGATCAAATTTTGACAAAATTTATCAAAATCTCGAAAATTATCAATCATTGTAATTAATAAATTATAAAATGTTCAGTTTTTATAGCTAAGGATTGCAAATTCAACACAAAGGTTCTCGTAAATAGTTCATACTGTAACCAAAAAATCTAAAAAATTTATGAACACAGTTATTTTTTACAGACATTTTAAATTCAAATTTGGACGAAATTACATATTAAAAAACCTAGAATAACTATTTTAGTTATTTTGTTGTGATTGAATAATATTATTCATGGGTACTTGAAACTTCTAAAGTGTACTATTATATATTTATGATAGTATCACGGTTTTTGTTGATGTATAACGCTTATAAGTACCTAATGGATATTGTGATATGATTAATTTGGAATTTATTATAGGTACCTATTATAGGTCAATTTTTTGTTTAATACCATAGATATGTATATAATATGTCTTATACATATACTGACATACCGTCTCCGCTCAGAATCGTTTTTCTTATACAATGATATTATATCGTTGAATTCAAATTTAATATCATCCATTATACAGTGACCCAATTATAACCTACTGTAGGTACAGCAGAGCACCTTTTTCTTCAAATGTTTATAAAAAAAAATTGTGACTATGGATTTTTAATTTTTTTCATCTGCTTTTGAAAAGGTTTATTTTGTGTGCCGACTAACAAAATAATTAGTAAAGTATTGTTACGAACACCCAAAGCAATATATAAATAATACCATGATCTCAATAATTACAAATATAGGTATGTTATGGGTAAGAATGTAAGATTCAAAACGGGTAATGTACCTACTACCTATCTATAGTGTATATTGTATACGTATACGGTATACATATTTTATTAACCAAAATAACTAAGTGGGACTGATAAAGTTAAATCAACATTGTCTTGTTAAAGAATTCTGGCGGTAATAAAATCAGTTATCAGTCGGTTTGCGTAAACCGCCAATTTACCGGACATTGTAAGAAAGGCCCTAAGTGATATTGGGTAGTTAAAAAATTTATAAAATGTTCAACTTTTATAGATAAGGATTGAGAATTTAAAACAAGATTCCACGTAAATAGGTTATATATTATAAATTACTTTATTCACCTTAATATTATCAAATATACTTAGTAATATCATGACTGATCGTTTTCACTCAGAATCGTTTTTCTTATACAATGATATTGTATCATTGAATTCAAATTTAATAACTTCCATTATAGAGCGACCCAATTTAAACTTAATGTCAGACTGACTTTTTTTTTTTAACTTACTAATTGAATCTAAGTTAAGCTAATGGTCTTTGTCAACTTAATTTTAAACTTAATTGATGTATTAAAAATGTATATTAACTTCATTTATAATTTAATTGAAAAATTAATAATGACCTTAACTTAACTGATTTAAAAAATATCATTAATATAATATAGTAATATATGTTGTAAACCAATATAAATGTAAAATATAAATTATTATTTGGTACCTAGTATTAACATATAATATGTTCTATATATTGTGTGTTGCTGGTTACATTCATTCACAAATCATGTTCTGAGTGCAAGTACTAGTCGGTGTCACTAGTTCCCGGATGGGTCACCACCCGGGCTTTTATACACTGGCCCACGAAAGACCGTGTCCCGAACAAAATGCTTCCGATCCCGCGCGTCTCTCACTCAACGACAATTACTGGTCGTTAACGTTCAGTACGATCGGCAACCATCGCTCTACGCTATAATATATATTTATGCAACCTATACCGTCGCGGCACAAAGTGGGGGAATTGTAGCTCGGACCTGTCAGTGCCATCAGCCTACATTCGTGCGAAAAGATAATGTTCTCTCGTGGGCCGAAGTATAGTAACAAATCCTTGCCACACATACACACATGTGTTCTAATCTATCCTTATCCCCTCCCCCTCTACAATCAGCTCATGATCATAGTTTCCTGGCTTAAGAACAATAAAAAAAAATCTATATAATATAATATATACTATAAATATGATATTAATATATTATTATGATGTTACAAGATTGAAAGAACGAGAGGATATAAAGCGTGACATTGATATTAAATTAAGAGAAGAAGGTAAAGCTGAATTGCAGAGAATTGCAAATGAAATCGAGGAAGATAGAGAGAAAAAAAAAGCTAAAGTAATATAATATATTATATTGTGTTAATTTGTTACATCATACATTCATACGTATATCATTGTAATTACCTACATTATGTTTAAGGCTCTAGCAACGAGAGAGAATTTAATAAATCACTTAAATGAAAATAGAAAAATTGTGGCTGAAAACATTAAGCTGCGTCAGTTAGAAGATCAAGAGGAAAATTTAGTATTATCAATAATGGCTGAGGCAAAGAAGAAAATAGCTAAAACAAGAAAACTGAAAGAAATAGAAGTATGTACCAACTCACCTAATAATATTAATTATTATATAGGTAAATGTTTAAGTTAATATGTACTGTCATGGAATACTAATATAGTAATATGAATAATAATACAAACGAATTGTATAGTCAACTTTATTGTTAACAGTATAAATTTCAATGATGTATGCATTGAAATTGTTTACTCAATAATGACCGATGGACACAGGACAGTCCCCACTGACCGTAATCTGATAGGTACTCATGATTTCCTAAATATACAAGATTATTGCACATAGCCTATATTATTGTTATCAAACAAAATAAAATGACAGCGTAAGGACCTTAGATCATAAACAAGTGTAGGTACTAGGTAATAGGTATAGTATATGATCTAAGGTACCATGGCTTAAAATACAGGTTGGATCAGTTAAAGGCTTGTCCCTTACGTTACTTTGTTACTATAATAATTTCTTAACGTGATAAAATTATATGGTGGGCGTACTATTGAAATAACCTATAAGTACATATTATTATATAATATATATGTATATTATTTTGGTAATACTTATACTACGTTAGAATGCATAAATGCTGTATAATATGCAACATGTATGTTACAGGTTTTGTTTATAAGAATTAATATCAAATTCGTTTGTAGATTTTAAAAGAAAAACAAAAATTATTAGAAAAAATGGTTGAAACTGCAAACACGGGTCAGGATAAAGAAGAGGTTTCATTTCAAAACGCAGTCGAAGAAAAAGAGCGGAAGTTCGTACATTCTTAGGTTTATTCTACTATTTTTTTTACAAGTTAGATAAATTCTTGTTTAGGTATCAAAGAGAAGAACTTAAAAATAAGGGTTTGATAAAAAATAGAGAAGAAGATTTCGAGGCCAGTAAGAAGATCTTGGATGAAGAAAATAGAAAGGAAAAAGAACGTTTGACACTGAGTCATCAGTGGGAACTGGAAAGGCGCCTAAGAGAGACTGAGATGTTATGCTTACTCGAAGAGTCAAGTAAACAGGCAAAGACCAGAGAAACTAACTGTTTTCGAAAGAATCTCAATTTACAATGTGTAAATACGTGAAATCAGAAATTTTAACTAATATTTTATGCTAAATTAATTATTTAATGTTATTTTTTCATATAGGATAACAATAGAGCAGCTACTAGAGCTAACAAACGGGTATCTGTTGAAAAATATAATGCACAATTAAAACTTTTGAAACAACAGGACGAGGAGTTTATGACCCACACCAAAAATATGATAACTAAATATAAAAAAGCTGGGATATCTGTCATACCATTAATGAAAGCTATCGAGGTGATATATTATGATATATTCATATCCTATTTTATAAAATCAAATAAATTATAATAAATAGGCTCTTGTAATTTCG